CGACCTTTAAGGCCGCTATAGAGCTTTTCACGAAGCCCATACAATTTTCCCTGCCAGACCTCTCGGAGCGTCATTTTGCGAAAAACATGGGGATGTTTGAATATTTTTTACAGTGATATTATGAATAAAAATAAATATATTTTTCTGCAATTAGATTAAGTACATCTTCTTAAATAACATATATATTTTTTAAATCTTTACTACTGTTATTTTTTCATACAGAAGCCGTTATAATATCGCATTATTTTGCAAAAAATCGTATATAAAAACGTGGTATTATTCTATATTTCTGAATAAAATTGTAAAATGTTCACTGTAGACTTTGTTCTCAAATATATACTCTATTTTTTTGTATATTTGATATTTTTTTACAGTGAACCAAAACTCTAAAACTCACGCTTGATTTGAGGTCTTTTCCTGAATTTTGGTTTTGTCGCTTTAGATATCGCTGTTTGTAACAGGTTTAAAACTAAAATGTTAATATTTACATTGTACATTTTTAGATGAAGATATGCTTGATTAAATGTTCAAGTAACATATTATTTTTACATAACGGTTTTCGAGAAACTCGCATGTTTATAAAGCCAATATTTGCAAATTTGCTAGAAAAAATTGAATGCGCTCTTAAGAAATCGCAGAATACTTCTTTTTTATTATTTTCACAAGTTTAGGATAAAGTTGGCGAAATTATTAATAGTTAACTTTTAGTTAATCAAGTACCTAGAGACGTAAACTAAAATTTTTCTATAATAAAACTATAGCTTACGCCTCCTCGAAAGTCTACCCCTCCGAATGAATTAATCTTTTAAGGAATACCTCTTATAAGTAACCTGTGTTAACATTGTCAATACTATGGTATTATCTTACTGTGTATTTGCGAAAACGGTAGCGATAAGAATTACGCATTTAGTGATGACATCGGCTGTAAGAGAACGACAGTAGCGGTAGTTGGTATCAACAGGGAGCTTCAGCTAAAGCTAGCTTTAGTTGAATCAACATTTGCACAGAATTATGTTAAAATGGTTACACGAGTCGCCTAGCTCTGTGCCATCCTTTTCTTTTTCACACTTCAACAGCTTCTTTCAATATAAGTTTTTAGATTTTCACGGTTGTTCACAACACTTAAATTATTGTTTAAAACGGGATCGCGGTAATAATCCCGTTTTAAACAATAATTTAAGCTTCTTTCAATATAAGGGTGAAAGGTAATTCGGTACATTCCTTGGAGGGGGTAAGATGGGAAGCCATACTATAAAAATGTTGTCATTAAAAATTCTCGTACCTACTTACAATGTTTTTTTACGAAATGTGCGACCGACCCTAGTAAGCTGCTTTCTGTAGTTTAAATCTAATTATGTAGATATTTTTATGAAAACCTACTTATTGGTAGATTTTTGCAGTTAGAGAAGTTATTTATGTAGTTTGTTGTACGCATATTACCAGAGTGAATTTTTACTACACAGTACCATAAAATGCAACTGGCTCAGGTCCGGTCTACCATAATTTTTTTTGGAAATGGCTCTTCTTCTTACCCCCTTCAGGAAATGTATCGAATCACCCTATATGTCGGACATAATATAGGTATCTACATATTATAGGTAGGTATTATTTTATGCAGAAATGTACATTGGCAGGCTTTGCGCTATAATGTTAGGATTTAACTAACTAACGATATAGTCATTAACTCATTAGACAAAATGTGAACAGTTGATAAAATAAGCGAAATGAACGGCTTCCGCTAGGTCCTTATAGGGCCTTTAGTGCAGTAGGTATTACTTTTACTATACAAACTATGATTTTTTAATAATTGCTCTGTTGCTGGCTAAAAATAGCCCTGGAAAGGAAAATTAGCCTATAATAAGGAAATTAGCCTTGTATGAGTAAAGTCCTCTACGTAATCATCCAGCATGGCCTTATTTTCCGCCTTCCGCGTATAGTACCTATTAATACTTAGGTATCTTATGCTCGGTCAGTAGGTGATAATCATAATTTACCTACGTTTGCAAAACACCAGTAGCTCCTAAACTAAGTCATCTTGCGATAAAACTATAAAAGTAGCATAATATTAGAATCGGAAAAAATAATGTTTGATGTCAAATGTTTACGCTGGTTTAGCTCGACTTACAATATGTTTATCTTAGCCTAGCTTAGTTACACAAACTGCTTTACGTTGTTTTACGTAACAAACCGTATTTGTAACGGAAGCTAGGTAGTACTAAAAGCCGGGTAAGTGCAATACAGATTCGTACACTGCGAGGATTCAGTACAATTTTTTTCAGTGGGAATAAGACGTTTACCCGGCATGTACAAACATATAACCTTCATCTTGAATCACTCTATTATAATTGAAAAAAACCGCATCAAAATACACGAGAGAAAAACACAAAAAGTGGCTCTATTTCATTCTTACTATTTAACGCGTTACAAAACAACCAATAAAGCTGAAAGGGTGAGGAAAGGTCCGTTGTCAAAAGTATCGTTTTTGAAAATTACGAAAAAGTATTTTTTTATTAAATTACACTTATTTTTAATCGTGGCATTCAGCAATAATTTTGACAGCTCAAAGTTCAAATGAAGTTACCGACGCGGCGAAGCGCAGTTCGGTCTACATTGCTGGACAAGAATCTAAGTCAACCAGCAATGTATGCCGAAGCGGACTTTGTTCGCCAGGTAGTGTAGCACCTGACCTAGACTAGTGATGTGATTATTTTATCGACTGATGATAATGAACAATATTCTTTTTTTTGGTTAGTTATGTAACAGGTTATATTGATAAGTCGAGGAAAACTGATGAGCAAGTCAGGCTCGTGCGTGCACCGAAGATTCAAGATAGAAACAAATTTAAATTAGTTCCGGCCCTTAGTTTTATCTATGGCAGAACATGTTAAAAATGGACTCCCCTCTAAGACCCTTACTATAGGAATGTATCGAATTACCGTTAACCCTTTATACTGAAAAAAAAAGCTGTATTGAAATCTGCTGCGTTCATTCTTTGGTTCATTCATGGTTGCATTCATGTTAATAACACGATTTCGTCCGTGGTGTATTTTTTGTAGTCTTTATACAGGGTGTTAGGAAAGTAGTGCGTTCCTTTGAACCACTCATTCTATGGGCTTAATAAAGTATGTAAAGCATGCTTAACCTTTTTTTAAATATAAAACTTTTTATTAAATATTCAAACCGTACTAAGGTAAACAAATTCGTATCGATTTATTTTTTTGACTACAGAGAAATTATTATTTTTTTGTACGTTTCTCTCTTCCTGTTATTTGGCTCGGCGTACATACCTACGTCATACAAGTTAAATAATCCACCGAATCATATATCTTAATTACTTTTGCATCGGTCTAACTCGTTATAAGGTGTTAAAAACCTGAACTCGATAATAATTCGTGTCAACATGATACTTTGCAAATGTGCAAATCACTGTATGACGTCTTCGAGCGAGGTATTAGGGTTCCGTAGCAAAAGAAAAACCATTTTTACAGTAAAATAGTATTTTGAAAACTACATAAGCAGGTACTCAACATACTTATTTTCGTTGATAGTTTGTGTCTCCTAAATAAGAGAATTAAAAAAAACTGATATTGTTGAAATAGTCAAAATCGGTTTAGTGCTGCCGCCTGCCTGACGTCAACCCTTTTTGGGAATGCTGTTGTGGGTAGTATCACCGCCACCATGCGGTTGACCATAGTTGACAGATGACAGGTTGACCATAGCCGAGGCTTAAAGTACTACTTTAAGCTAAACCCTGAGCAGACTACTAGGGGTGGTAGTATTCTTCGCCGCTTCTACGCGGTACCACAAATTCCGAAGAAACGGACGAACATGTCAAAACACTGTGTTTGACGTCTGCTTGTATCAAGATACCCTTTCTCAGGAACGCGGAGAGATTACTATAGAAGAATGATCGATCATTCTAAAAAATTTACGCGCCTCACAAAACAATTCTAACGAATAATAGCAATGACAGTCTTTGCACAAAACTAATTAAATTTTTAAAGGTGTATACCGTCAGGTATATTTACCAAAAAAATACCGACGTGTGAATATTTTACAGTATAATGAAAAATAGTGAGTGTTAAAATAAAATAAGAATGTAGTTCCATTTGCCATGTGGTGCTGGCTTAAAATAACATCGCCCCATATCTTTCCCGTGGGGGTCGTAAGAAGAGACCAAGGGATTTAAATGTTGATGTGTACCTATTGCAATTTTATCATCCTGTCACTATGGTGATACATACTTAGTCTTCTCAATGACAACTATCGTCAGACGTGATGTAAATGAAAATAAGAAATAGAAAAAACCGGCCAAGAGCGTGTCAGACACGCCCACAAATAGGGTTTCGTAGTCAACGTTTAAATATCAGGTTTTTCAGCATTACAAACTTAATTTGTTGCTGGTTTGTTAGCAGCAGTATGATGACCAACCGCAAATAGAAAAACTCATTTTTTTCTGAAACCTTTAAAGGTACAATATTCGTTATAGTTTTCATTGTAACTTCAGATTGTAAGCTATATTCCATATTTATTTAAAATTTTTAGCGTTTATACGTTAGAAGTTACAGCTGGAACAAATTATGGGTCAAAAACGCCCTTTTTAAAAGCAAATATCTCGTGACAGAAACATTTTAGTGACTTTGTTTCAAAGAAACCTCACCTTATTTTTAAAAGACCTATTCAACGATACCCTACTCAATATTGCAGAAGAAAAAAAAAATTTTTGCCCCCCTTTCCCTTGTATGGGAGGGGGACCAAAAAACATTTTAAATATTTTTTTCTTAACATTTCTATATTTGGGTCAACACGATCTATCTTCTCACCAAATTTCATGTCGATAGCTCTAAAACTGACGAAGATGTGAGGGCGCGGCATACAGACAGACAGACAGACAGACAGACAGACAGACAGACAGACAGACAGACAGACAGACAGACAGACAGACAGACATGACGAAACTATAAGGGTTTCTAGTAGACTACGAAACCCTAAAAATGTCATACATCGAACGGGAATCGAACCCGGGCCGCATGGGTAAACGCCCCACCGCTCTGCCACTGAGCTATCGATGCACCGGTTGATGAATGCCAAATTTTATATCTCTTGATGCTCGTCTCCAAGCGACGATCCAGCGACATCTGTAGGAAGTATTTAGAACTTTCTACATGGTTAGTCCACATTATGAGTGAAATTCAAACCATATGATGAAGCTTGCTTAATCAATGGAAATGGCCGTTTTTTACAGTCATTTTCACTCAGCCTACCCCTCAAGGGCTATAGGCATGAGTTATGTATGCAGTTCATTAAGAATACGAGTGCCTGATGTTTTATCAACGGCAACTGCTTCACTGAAAGTGATAAAAGTAACAAGATAGATGAAGAAATAAGGCGTTAACTGTTCAGTAATGAAAGTTTTGTCTACTCACGCTACATCTTGTTTTTTTCTATAAAATAATGTTACGTGTGATGTTACGGTTACTACCACTACAAAAAAAAAGTTTGATTAAAGGCCTCCTTATTTTTGTTACGGGATTTAGTAAACCCGGCACCCGGGTGGATTAACGAGGGAAGAGCTTAACAAAGAAAGAATTACCTATTAGTACAGCTACAAAGTTACGCGATTATGAAAATGTATTTTAAGTATCTTTAAAGGATACCTACTTCGAAATTTAGCGACCTTTTAACAAATCGATCGTAAGAACAAGATTATCTACAATGATGAAAGTATGCCCTTGATCTAAATTGATTAACTTAAGGTCCTATTCATTACCTAGGTTCTCAGACACTTATTGTTAGTTGCTTCTAAATTATAAAGTCTAGTACTTACTTATTTAGGTAAAGTCAGTGGTAAAGTCTCGGTCAAAGGGTTTTGCATCGGCTGCGAAGGGAAAGACAAACTCAAATTTCTGTTATTGAAGTGAGAGCAGGTTTTATTCGGCCTATGGTGGTCATATTCACATTTAGGTAGTCAGAATCGCCCTTCCGGATAGATTTTCCTAGCCTTAAGACGATTCCCGGGCGGTGTTTTTTTATACATACAAACGTATGCCTCTATTATCTTCCCGAATAATATATGCCGATTAATTCTTTTATTTTTGTCCTTTATCCTAACATAGGCATGCCCCTATTTTATCTGGGGGAACGGCAGTGCCCCTGCCAAAGTCGAGCGCAAAGCAAATTTACACTGTCGTACCATCCTTTACTGCAATCATTTCGATGCATTTTCAGGCCCCTATTTAAGAACATTATACGACTGGCCGTTGACTTGTATCCACAAACATATAAAGAATGTTCAACGGCCAGTCGTTTAACTGTAACTTTAAAGGAATAGCATCAAGGAACTTTAGACTTGGCATGACTTTATCTAGATTTCATTACTTTTTAGAGATAAACAGGAGGGTCTCCATCGAGACTTGGCTAGTTTGTAACAGAATGTTTTTGGTGGGATTGCCTTTCCAAAAAAATAACTACTGGAAGAAAATATTATACAATTTTCTATTTCCATACAAAATTAAAAATGCAAAAAAAAATATCAAATTTTCAAAAATAATAAGTAGGGCCTATGGCTATGGTAGGCCTTAATGTAGGTACATAAAAAAAGAATCATAGCTCTACATGCATTATTCGGGAAGAAAACAGGGGAATACTTTTGTATGAAAAGACAGAAAACAGACATCGCTCGGGTAGGTATCGTCTTAACAAGTTGGACTTCGGACGCCAAAATTCTTTGATTGTGCGCCACACACAAAAGGTACAATGCAGATAGAGTTTTCTTATCTTTTCCGAAGTTAAGTGAAATACATACATACATTATTACGCCTACATAGATGTAGGCAAAGCGTATGCACGTCTGACAAAAGTTTGGCAGTCATTTAGAAGCTGTGTATCACCTTAGGCTTATATAGTGACTGGATGGGTTGTCAGTCGCTCGCCTAAAGTTAAGTGACCCATACAAATTAACTCTGGTAAAATGAACCTTGCAGCGTCCTTTCTTAGGGTCAGCCACGCGTGCTAAACTGATTGACGCGGTAAAAAGTATCGAAACAAAAAATCCGGAACCACAGTAAAAAGTTGTGGAATCCCATCTAGATGTAAGGCCAAGTCGGATTAAAATCAGTGAGGAAAAGTTTTTATTGTGCACTCTATGAGGAAAAAATATTTGAATTTAGAACATATCATAAAAAACAATTAAGAAAAAAGCGCGGGAACCTTGTTGGCGAGAAGGCGTCCGTAATTAAAATTTTCATTGAAAATTATTTAATAAATATTAGATTTGCTTAAAAAGTGTTCCAAAACCTGTGAGTGTAGTGAGAAAGCGGGGCAGGTATGGGTAAGTCTTCGTCGGGGCGGCCGCGGAAGCGCCATAAAGATGGTAAGCCAGAGAAAGAGCCGGAGAATGAGTCCCTCTCTATGGAGTCTTCGGAGTCCGAAGTTGAGGGTGATAATGATCATCACAAAATATATGAGCCGTATAGAGTGCAAGACTACACTAGAAGATATCCGGAAGGCAGTACGAAAGGCGAATACATCGTTTTTCTTCAACATAAAGACGAGAGTAAGCCGTTTTCTGACAGTGACCGTCTTAAATTGTCACAAAACATACGGAAACATTGTGTCGCTGGCGTGTTGCATCTAAAGTCGATCAACAAATTTAAAATAGGCGTAACGTTTGATCTATCAAACAATGCAAACGTCTTCTTACAGAACAAAAAATTCCTTGATGAACTGTTCCTAAAAGCTTCAATTCCAGCAGGCGGTACTGAGACGACCGGTGTCCTCACCTCAGTCCCAGTTAGCCTGTCTAACAAGAAAATTTTCTCCTTGATAGGCAGTTCCAAAAATGTAGTACAAGTAAGACGCTTCATGCGCAAAGTTCGTGACGAGGATGGGTTGACAAAATTCTTGCCAACTCAGACAGTAGCGGTAACATTTGGCTCAGCTCAGTTGCCGGAATACGTGTGTCTTGACTCGTGGAGATACGAAGTCAGGACATACGTACCTCCGGTAAAGCAATGTCTGCGTTGTCTTAAGTTCGGGCACATAGCAAAATTCTGCAAAAACGCTGAGGTTTGTTCAATCTGTTCTGCGGAACACAGTTTCAAAACTTGTACAGTCGAGTTAAAAAACGCAAAGTGTGTCAGCTGTGGTGGGGCCCATGTGGCCATTTCAACATCCTGTCCCGTCAAAAAACAAAAACTGGAAGAAAACCAAATAAAATCCCGTTCTGCCCGGTATCCCGATTTATTCAATGAGACTCAGTTTCCACAGTTAACTGCTAAATCCATAAATACACACATACAAAATTTATCTAAATCTGAAGTATTTTTGAGCTTAAGGATAAACGTCAGAGCAGATTTCCATACAAATTTTATTTGGCAAAGACAGAAAAACTACCCTGTTTCATACATGGAATATAGTGTTATAACGCAAATTAGACCATTTTAATTTAGAGAATCTGATAAAAATATGATATTTAAGTTATTTCTGAGGTTTTTTTAGCTTTAGAAAATATGCAAATATTTGATCAATTTCCGTATGTGTGAGTGCGATCCATAGAAATCCTAGAGCACATTGAATAAAAATCTCCTCAGAATACGTTTTAAAACTCTTATCTCAGTATGAAAGTGGTATGAAACTCCCGAGATGAAACTCACTGAAAGGTCCTGATTTTGACGTAAGCTTTCAATGACTGACACAAATAAAACTCAAAATCAAAAGTTTCAAAAATGTAAATATCAAAATCTTGATTTTGATCGTATTTCTTAATTATTTCGCAGAGAGAATATAAATAAAACTAGCGTTTTATTATTTCGTACATATAGTTAAATTTAAAACCAATTTCAAACAAAAGTCCTCCTTTAGTACCTATAAATTTCCATATTCAGCCGTAACTGAGCCGTAGCTCTGAATCCTGGACCCTCAAGACTGTTTATAAAAAGAGAATTGACGTCGTCGTGATGTGGTGTTGGCGTCGCATGCTCCGGATTCCCTGGGCGGCTTTATGGACCAACCAACAACGTAATCATATTAGAGGAGTTGAGACTGGAAAAACACACGGCTGTCCACACCACGAAATGCACGCTCCGGAAACTGCAGTACTTTGGACATATTGTCAGAAGAGAATTAGACAATCTGGAAAAACTGCTGTTGACGAGGAAAATTGAGGGAAAGAGGGCCACAGGACAATGCGCAGAACCGGAACGGTAGCTAGATCAAGTCTCCGAACAAATGGAGATGTCCACCAACACGGCTCTACATGAAGCAAAAGATCGAGCTAAATGGGAACAAATTACCAAAGAAAGATAGTGTACGGAGTCATGATCCTCAGCAGTGAGGCAACCGACGGGAAAAGATGGATGCAATGCACCTACAAAATTGTTTAAATAAACGCTAAAACGGTAGGTAATCCTACCTAGAACACCTGGACTAAGAACCGAAATGGAAGTGGTAGTAATAAAATATATATACGGATGTACGACACTTATACCTAATGTAAAGAGGATAGTACCTAGCCTATAGAGGCTAGGTACTATCCTCTTTACACCTAACTATATAGGTGCCTACAAAATATAAAAAGGTAAATAAAATTTGCAGGAAAAATGTATTTTTATTTCTACGAGTGTTACAAATGAGTGGTACCTAGACTAATATTCTCCTCACATAGAAGTCCTAGACTAAACATGGTTTATTATGATTAAAATATCCATGTTTATCAAAGCGCACGACAGTGCGCCAGCCAAGTTCTAAACACAAGCCGCGAGCACAGTGTTACACACTGCACTCTTATTACCCGCCTGTATCAGTAATGTGAAAAAAATAAAGATTATTTAAAAAATAGATAAATATTTAAAAAGAAATATCGATTTTATAAAATAAGAATTACATTTCACACAAAATCGATTACATTTTCAAAATTTCCGAAGTCCGCGCAAAAAAAACAATGAAAATTAGATTTTTGTTAATAATCGATGCTTTTTTTAATTACTCAAGTCACATCCGCACCCCGTACCTACATAGGTATCTATTTATCTACTGTACAGAATGAAACTTTACACAGTTTACACACATAATG